GTTATTTAGTCTGTTAATGTAACATAAATTGTGAGATTATTACTGTGAAGCACCTTTTTGAAGGCACCATACAAGAAATAAAAACCCTCTTCATCTACTAAATACCTTGAAATGAAATGTTTTGAATCTGACTGAATTATGGGAGGTTTTACAAGATGTAATTTGTTTATGTAGCTTTTAGAACACAAACAAAAATCAGTCATTTCCAAATAATTCATCAGAGAGCAAAAATGAAACAAAAGCTATTAATAACTGTAATAAATAAACTTAATTTTCTAAAACTCGTCATTATTTATACTGCTGCAAAAATAATGGTAACAGCTTTGAACAAATCAAAAACAAGATATGTCACTCAGGAGCATCATTAATTATATCACTGTAAATAATAAATCTTGCTGTGTACAATCAAGGCTGAATATATTTTTAGCAGTTTTTTTTTGTTGTTGAGAAAACTGGGTTTCTAGAGACTTATATACATATTCATGCAATGTTGTCCAACTTTAACATGATATGTAACCCTAACTGACTCCGGTTTGAACTGTGTGCGTATTCATTTTGTGTCTATGATGAAGCCATGGAGACTTAATAAATATGTCACCTTGTGAGTAGTGAATCCTTAATTTTTGTCAGTCATGCAGAAATACTTGATTTCAAGAGGAAAGACAGCTGAAAATATAGTTATGTAAAGCTTTGACACAACATGGAAATTTAGATATCCAAATTTGAATTTTATCATCAAATAAATTTTTAGAATAAATAAACATATTTTTAAGGGAGTAATAAGGAAAAGGAGATTAACACCTTTCAGCATGTGCATTTCCTGCTTTTTCCAGCAGTGATATTGCTAATTCTATTCAAGGAAATTCACTGTTTAATGAGACAGCTGGTGAAAATGATATGTAAATAAGTAAGAATGCATGTAGACCTACATAATTAAGCAAAACTGAAACACTAATATAAAGTATATATATTATATTTTTTTCTCCCTTCGAATCTGAGAGGGTGGAACCCCAGCTCCAGCTATGGACGAGCCCCCAGGGGGCCCAACTTGATATTTTTTCATGGGGCCCAAAATCTCTGGCAGCCCCCCTGCCCACCAGAACAGTGAGATGCTTCGCTAATAACAAACCCTGGATCACCAGTGAACTGAAGAATCTGCTAAATGAGAAAAAAGAGCCTTCAAGGAGGGAGACAGAGACTTATTGAGGAGTATACAGAAGCAACTGAAGATCAAGATCAGAGACAGCAAGGAGGCATACAGGAAGAAGCTGGAGCTGGAGAACAAACTACAGAGGAACAATATCAGAGATGTCTGGTCAGGGATGAAGAAGATCACAGGCTTCAAGCAGAGGAAGGATTGCACAGATGGCAGCCCGGACACAGCCAATGAACTGAACAAGTTCTTCAATAGGTTCAGTTCAGGAACAAATCCAGCAACGTCCTCGCCTGTCCCCAGCCAATCAGACATCCCATCCTCCTCTGATCCAACTTTTTCCTGTCACACACCAGATCTTTTGTCCTCTAACGCATTCATGGACTCTTCTGGTTCTATAAATCTGTCTTCAACCAAGTCAGGAGATGCTGCTGCCCCATTTACCTCCCCCTCCCACCTATCTGCCTCTAGAAGTCAGGTGAAGAGGCAGCTGGAGAGACTGAACAGGAACAAGGCTGCAGGTCCAGATGGTGTCAGCCCCAGAGTACTGAAGGCCTGTGCAGAGCAGCTCTGTGGGATTCTGCAGCACCTCTTCAACCTCAGCCTGGCCCAGGAGAAGGTTCCAGTCCTGTGGAAGACATCCTGCCTTGTTCCAGTTCCAAAGAAACCTCGCCCATCAGTCAATGACGACACAGACCGGTTGCCCTGACATCCCACATCATGAAGGTCCTGGAGAGACTCCTGTTGGTCCACCTGAATAAGCAAACTAGGACATATCAGGACCTGCTGCAGTTTGCTTATCGCCATGGAGTTGGAGTTGAAGATGCCATCATCCAGCTGCTTCAACCAACCCACTGTCATCTGGACAAAGCAGGCAGCACTGTGAGGGTCATGTTCTTTGATTTCTCCAGGGCATTTAAGACAATCCAGCCTGATTTACTTTGCCAGAAACTCCAGAAGACACAGGTGGGGGCTTCAACTATCTCCTGGATTAAAGACTACCTGACAAACAGACCACAGTTTGTGAGGCTGAAGAACTGCACATCAAACCAGGCGATCAGTAACATTGGAGCACCACAGGGGACTGTACTCTCACCATTTCTTTTCACCCTGTACACCTCAGACTTCCAGTACAAATCAGAGACCTGTCATCTACAGAAATACTCAGATGACTCTGCAGTCGTCGGGTTTATCAGAGATGGACAGGAAGCTGAGTACAGAGAGCTGGTGGAGCGCTTTGTGCCATGGTGTGGAAACAATCATCTGACCTTGAACGTGGACAAAACAAAGGAGATGATTTTAGACTTCAGAAGAAACAGGGTGGAGTCAAACACTTTTTCCATTATGGGAGAAGAAGTGGAGGTGGTTGAGGAATACAAATACCTTGGAGGTCACATGGACAACAGACTGGACTGGAGAAAGAACAGCCAAGCCGTTTACAAGAAGGGGCACATCAGACTGCACTTCTTGAGGACGCTTAGGTCCTTCAATGTCTGTAACAAGATGCTGCACATCTTCTACAAGTCTGTTGTTGAGAGTGTAATCTCTTCAGCCATCGTCTGTTGGGGTAGCAGCATCAGAAGCAGGGACCTGAAAAGGCTCAACAGCCTAATAAAAAAGGCTGGTTCTGTTCTGGGGGCGGCTGTGGAACCACTGGAGGAGATAATGCAAAGAAGGATTCTCCAGAGAATCAAGAAAATTGTGGACAACCCTGAGCATTCTCTCTTGGATACCAGCCTCCCCTTTTCCCTTCGGACCTCTCTGTCTCTGTCACTGTCCCTCATTTGATCTGCAGTGCTAAAAGGATGTGGACCCTGACCCGGGTGGCTCTTCAGTGTACTGCTGAACACAACCAGCGACTGGCTGATCGCCACCGCCGCCCCGCACCTGTATACAACCCCGGGCAACGGGTCTGGCTCTAAACCAAGGATATCAATCTCAAAGCCACCAGCAGGAAACTCCCCCCCCCCCCCCCGGTTCATTGATCCATACACTATTTGTGAGGTCCTCAGTCCCTGTTGTGGGTCAAAAAGCTACTCTCAAACATGACACTGTTAAAAGGGAGTTTTTACTTGAGCCATTGACGCCACTGCTTGCTTAGAATGAGGATTGCTGTAAAGACACTGACACTAGTCAGTGACTCGATGCGACCTGCTGGGTTCCTTATATAGGAAACTTTTTACTGACTGGCTCAATGACCTGACCTGTATTGATGACTTATGCAGCAGTGCAGCACAACCCACCTCCACAACACTCTGTCACAGTACTGAGCTGCCAGGAACCCCTCCACACACACACACACACACACACACACACACACACACACACACACACACACACACACACACACACACACACACACACACACACACACACACACACACACACACACACACACACACACACACACACACACACACACACACAGTCTTATGATGATTTATTATGGGGGGCTCAGAATAGGTTCCTGCATTGGGCCCCAATGTGGCAGAGGGTCTGTGTGTAATGGAGGATGCAGGGAAGTGTGGAAGTGCGGTGAGACTGACAACCAGATTGTCCAATGGTTGCTTTTGGTCCAAAACTTGTTATTGGCAGAGGTTTTTAGACAAATGCAAAAGAACCACCTTCTTCTTTTTTTATTTTTATTTTTTTTTAGCTTTTAAATTTTCACAATACATTTATAGCCATACTGTTAGAACATTATGAACCCTTCTGCATTGTTAGTGGGGTCAGGTTGGACTCGGGTGCTTTTTTTATTTCCTACTTTTTTTTTTAGGAGTACACCACTTCACCCTTGCCAAGGGATAAACTATCAACACACCTGATTGATTGAGTTCACCTGATAAGACAGTGGAAGGGATGAAAATTTTAAGCTAATTTGTTTTCCAAATGTTCCATTGCACTAAGAAAACACATATCTGTAACCTGTAACTTATACTGTCATCAGAATATTTAAAGAAAAGAAAAGTCTCTCTCCTTGATTAATTATATTTTCAATAATTAGATGACAGATCTGGATATTTCTCTTGTTTGCAACAAAACCATCAACAAGTTAATTTAGAACTCCATGTAATTATTATGTTTATTGTTCAATCTAAAAAAAAATTACAAAATATGTCTAAAATGGATGAACAGTTCTGTTTGTTTGAATTTATTGACTACTTACATTGTTGCAAACATTGCAGTCTTTCTGCAGGTCTTCATGTGAAGTCTCTGGACTGCTGTCGCCCCCTGTTGGCCAGTTCGTTAAGCGTCTGAGGCCTGTTGCTCTGCAGCAAATGTAGAGAAACATGAACACGTGGTTCAAATGAACCAATGCACAAGCAAAACAAAATAACTTTGCCCACAGATTTTTCAACTAAAATCTTTGATATTACAAATACCTAAAAAGGACATTTATAATGCCACCACACAAATGGTCTAAACATAAACAAGATGTATTGAAAAACTTATTTCGGCAATAAGATCAAAGTGTACAGTTAAAAATGCATTACCACTAAATACAATACAACGTGCTATTTACAATGTTTGCTGTTTGGGGAGAAATGAGCAAGCAGGTAAACACTGGAATTAGTTTTTATGAAAAATAAACTTCCCATAGCGTGAAGATGTTTGTGAATCAAATGCATTGAAAAATTGGAGACATCAGAATAGCGTGACGTTTATCTGATTTTATTCAATATTATCGAATTTTAATTAAATTGTAAACTAAAAATTACGAATTTAGCTGAAGCCGATGTCCAGGAGGGGAAATCCACTTGGCTGAGCTGGAGTTTTCTCTGACCTGCGTCTCCGCCCACTGAACGCCCCCCAGCCTTCCTTTCATAAATTGCGGCATCGTCTCCGGAGTTCGCAGACTCTTCGGTTACTCAGTTACGGTTCTCAAGTCACAATTCTGAAGTTTAGCAACAGAAGCGACAACTTTTGGTTTGCTTTCTTATTTGTGACTTAGCAAAAACGTCAAGGAGCGTTGAAGATTTATTTTTGCATCGTTGTCCTTTCGTTTGAAGGATTCAAGTTTGCCAAACTTTGCGCTCCAACAGACTGGCAACACGGATTAAAAAAAGGAAGAAGGACTTTCTTTTTTCTTGTGAGAAGCCGGTCCTGCATCGTTCTCGCATGAATCTGCTCGACCCTTACCTGAAGATGTCAGAAGAACAGGATAAGTGTCACTCTGACGTTCCAAGCCCCAGCATGTCTGAGGACTCCGCGGGCTCACCATGCCCGTCCGGCTCCGGTTCGGACACCGAGAACACTCGACCGTCCGACAACCACCTCCTCCTGGGTGCCGACTACAAGAAGGAAGGAGAAGAAGAGAAGTTTCCTGTGTGTATCAGAGACGCGGTGTCGCAAGTGTTGAAGGGCTACGACTGGACGCTGGTGCCAATGCCGGTGCGTGTCAACGGCTCAAGCAAGAGCAAACCTCACGTGAAAAGACCCATGAACGCCTTCATGGTGTGGGCTCAAGCGGCGCGGAGAAAACTGGCTGATCAGTACCCGCACCTGCACAACGCAGAGCTCAGTAAAACCCTGGGGAAACTTTGGAGGTGAGTTCCTCCGCCGTGCGCCTTTACGCACCGCGGAGCGCGCTGCGCTTCTTCTGTTAACTTTGCACATCTTGGCTGCTTTGGGTATTACAGTGCGCTGACCTGGTTGAGGTCTGTACACGAATGGTACTTTGTCAGATTCATAGTTCGCTTAGACTCACCTGAATTTAGGATGTGTTTTATTTATTTTTGTTCTCTGGTTGGTTAAATCCCTCCCCCCCCCCCCCCCCCACACACACACAGACATAAAAAATCTATTTTTATCAGATTTAAACTTATGATTTTTTTTTACATTGCCAGGCTGCTTAATGAGGTAGAGAAGCGTCCGTTCGTAGAGGAGGCTGAGCGCTTGAGAGTGCAGCATAAAAAGGACTACCCCGACTATAAATACCAACCAAGGAGGAGGAAATCTGTCAAGAACGGCCTGAGTGAACCGGAGGACGAGCAAACCCACATCTCTCCAAATGCGATCTTTAAGGCGCTGCAGCAGGCCGACTCTCCTGCATCCAGTTTGGGAGAGGTGCACTCTCCAGGAGAACATTCAGGTCAGGATTGGAATAAAATTAAGTTTGAAATTCTTAGTTTATCTTGGTACTATTTGTCGGGTTTTAATCATTTCGAGCAGATGGTCATTGAGAATGATTTGTAAATTATTAGAGTTTTACAAACCAGCATGTAAATTCATCTGTCAGAATAAAGCCATTAACCTCTAATATGCATTTCAATTTATTCTAGTGGCAAAATTGTCTTTAGACGGAGATAAAAATAGAGTCTAACTTTATGTTTCCCAAATTAGGTCAGTCACAAAGTCCACCAACACCCCCAACCACCCCCAAAATGGATCTCCCTTCCAGCAAAGTTGACCTAAAGCCTGAAAGGCGACCTGCACAAGAAGGCACCAGCCGACAGCTCAATATCGACTTTGGAGCTGTGGACATTGGTGAGCTGAGCAGTGACGTCATCTCCAACATGGGTAGCTTCGATGTTGACGAGTTTGATCAGTATCTGCCACCACACAGCCACGCTGGGGTTACTGGTGCAGCCCTGGCTGGTTACCCTGGCAGCTACGGGATCAACAGCTCTTCAGTCAGTCATGGAGCCACTGTTGGAGCTCACACCTGGATGTCCAAGCAGCAGCAGCAGCAGCATTCTCTGACCACCCTGGGCAGTGGTGGCGGAGGAGGAAGAGGAGGAGGAGAGCAACAGGATCAGCAGAGAACCACCCAGATTAAGACGGAGCAGCTGAGTCCAAGCCACTACAAAGAGCAGCAGGGTTCCCCGCAGCATATCTCCTACGGGTCCTTCAACCTGCAGCACTACAGCACCTCCTCCTACCCCCCCATCACAAGAGCACAATATGACTATTCAGACCACCAGAGTGGTGCCAACTCTTACTACAGCCATTCCACAGGCCAAGGTTCCAGCTTGTATTCCACCTTCAGCTACATGACTTCCAGCCAGAGGCCGATGTATACCCCCATAGCTGACAATGCTGGTGTGCCCTCCATGCCGCAGTCCCACAGTCCACAGCACTGGGAACAGCAGCCCATTTACACTCAGCTGTCAAGGCCTTGAGGAGACAGTCTGAGAACACCCAGGACTTGTGTAAGCCCCGATGCCACACACACCTATTTCCATCAGAAAAACAGAATGTGGACGTTTTTGTAACTCTAAAGTTTATCTCTGAATTGGCTCACGGCAGTGCCTTTTGTAATAGTTGTGATTATATATTTTTACATATAATGTTTTAAGTCCTCTGTGAGGACATACTTGTCATGAGTATAATAGTATGTACTGTGTATGTATTCTGCTTTGATTAAGGTCAGTCATCATCACCATCCTCCCGATTGGTAGGTTTGTTTGGTAGGTACAGGGATGTCGGGTTAAAACACCCTCCGTGGCCTTATTTCTCACAAATTAGCTTTTATTTGTATTTTACAGGAAGTAAGAAAATGTATTTACTGATATTTCATGAAAGCCTCTGAGTTTTTGTGCTGTACATATGTTAATTCTTTAAGAGATGTTGAACAATGCAGGAGTGTAATAGATTAGAGGTCCTGGCCATGATATGACATGTCCTTTGTGATAAAGCCCAATGTTCGATTTCCTGTTTGCTTCAGCTGAGTTGTTTGAAACGTCATACCAAGTGCCGTGTAACTCTTTTAGGGGACTTACTGTGTTGTGAAAGCAAAGCTTGCTTTTATATGCCTTGATACCATTGGTGCCTATGGAGCCGCAGCGGAAGAGTCGCACACTGGTGCTGCAGTTGTGGAAACAGCAGCACAGGTCCGACTTCCTGCTTGATGAGATTCAGGAAGTGACCTTTGACCTGACCATTTGCCAGAACCCTTCAGGTCTAAACATGCTACTACCAGATTTTTTTGCCTCCTCTTTTATTCCTAATTATTTTTTTCTTAATTTATTATTTAGCATTAATTTTATTTCAGATTAACTGTTTGCCAATATATTTTAAAACTCAGCAGCAGTTAACAAAGGTGAATTGGGTTGCTGTCATTTGTGGTACAAGGTTGTTTATTTATCATTTGTAAATATTACTGTAAGAACATTTTTCTTTGATTCTCCACCTTTTCTGTAGAGAATACTTTAAAAAAATTACAACATGGGCCTTTTTCTCTTTTTCTTCTTCTAACAAAGGATTTTTCAGAAGCAGCTGTAAAGAAATAGCTTGAATCAACGTGATGCATTTTGTTTTCGGAATGAAAAGTTGTTCTTTATTTTATATTTTGTATTAGTTCTCATTGTCATCTCAATGCAGTTTCCCTAGGAAACACGGCATTATCTTAAAAGCTTGTTTTGTAATATTTTTGTTTGCAATAAAAATGAAATCAGAAAAATGCGTTGCAGTTTTCATCATAACATCAGAGTCATTCTTACCAACTGCAAGAAAATAAGCTATATCACCAGATTTTAAATAAGTTGGTATTTTATTTTCTAAGTAACTTCTTTTTGCAAAATGAGTAAAAATGAAGCTAATCATGCTGATGTGAGACAAATTTGAGTTTTTCTGCCTTCTTGGCAGTTGGCAGCAGCAGTTTAGTGACTTTTGCCTGTAGCTTCTTGGATCAAGAAGTCTGAGGTCCGGTGTTACCCCCTGCCCAGAGATATGTCCACACCCCTACCTCTGTCTATACACAACATCTTAAAGAAATAAACTACATGCTGCATGCTGTTTATTCATTACTGGCTAACTTGTATGGGAATAGAGCTGCACTTAATAAATCAGAGGCAATTGTAAACACAATCAGGTACTACAGCTCTGTGTTGAAATTTGAGGTACATTCACAGATGACGTCTCATTCATCACATCAGTTGGGTTAAAACTTTTTTTCTGCTACAGCTCAGCGATTGCTAAAAAAGTTTTATTCTGAAAAGTTTATTTCAATCTGCATAGGTAGAATTAAGGAGCACATCGTGTTGCTGAAATAACAAGTTCATGACACATTCTGCTGTCGATATTGGCAGATGTAAGTTTTGATTTCGTATTTTGAGATTCATAAAAGTCTAACATAAACAACAGGTTAAAACGAATCAAATGTTAATTTATTGTTGATTAGAATTACCGTAATCTCTTCTTTTTGTAAAGCCTGTCAATCACACAAGCTCTGGCTTATAAACACAGAATACATAAGGTATGTTTTTGCTTGTTTTCAGTGTCATCGGGCCTCACGCTGATGTCTCTGGTTACAAAAGTGGAGAATTCTGACAGTGAGGAGCAAACAGGGTGGGTGAAGCCCACCTCCCACAGAGAGCCCGAGGGGCCCATCCATCAGTGAATCTCCTGTGGCTCAAACCTGGAGTCATGCAGCAGGGCCTAACATGGCAAACAGAAGACAGTTACAGATTGGTTAAGGCTGGACAAAAAAAAAAAAGTGCATCCAGGGGAAAACCACAATGTTCACAATTTTTAACCTGCAAAGGCAGGAATGTTATTTCTGACTGATGCCATTCTAAAGAGTTCAAAACAAGTCAAATTTTTTTTTCAAAAACGGAAACCATCAAAATGACAGTGTGGGGGAGTTAGAGTACACCTATACACCAAACAATGACTTTAGAATTTTCTGAGCTGTGTAATATACAGTATTTCTTTGTGACTTAAAATTAAGCTGTCTGACCTGTCCCCACCAGGTGTGTGTGGTAACAGAGCAGTGATTGACTCCTGATGGAAGTTCAGCTGTAGCCAACAACTGTCAGAAAACAAGTCTGACAACAATTTGTGTTCTTCAACGTCACCCAGTGAATTATATGAGTGTTATTTTTTTCTGAACTGTGTAATTCTTAAATCATTGGTTGGTTTCTTTATACATGCAGGAAAGTCAGGACCAACTTAGGAGAGATAGTTTCATTCTGATTAGATTGACAAGCTATCGGCTAGGCTAAATGAATGAAAGAAGGAATGAATGACTTTATTGTCGATGTACAATTAAACAGCACAATAAAATTGAAAGTGCCTCCCTAATGTGCAACCAATAGAAACAAAACACACACACACACACACACACACACACACACACACACACACACACACACACACACACACACACACACACACACAGAGAGTTTAAGGAATTATTTACAGCTACAATGGCAAATTTGCAAAACAAGATCTCTTAAAGCGTTTCTCATGCTTAACTACGTTCTAAGCTAGTAAAGCTATAAATATGTTGTGGAGATTCTCTCGCATTTCTTGAAAAACCTTAGCTAATAATAAAGCTTGGTCCGGAACCAACGATTGAACTATTCAGTTGTCGGCACTTCTGCACTTTCCTCCATTTATTACTCACTCATGTATTTAGCAACAAAACACAACTGGTGTCAGAAGTTCTCCGCTCAATAATTTCTGGAAAGAGAAACAGTCGACTGCTACCACATCAACTTTAGGACAAACTACCTGTTTTGAAAAACACTGTTTGAAGTCGTGGACTAAAAAATATATTTGGACCTAGAAAGCAGTGACTGACGTTTAGCGCTCTCTCATTTCCTCTGGCAATGCAGATTCCAGTATAAGGCAGATGTGGCCTGGGGATGATGACCAATGGGAGAAGTGAGAGATCTACAGGGTGGGCCATTTATATGGATACACCTTAATAAAATGGGAATAGTTGGTGATATTAACGTCCTGTGTGGCACATTAGTATATGTGAGAGGGCAAACTTTTCAAGATGGGTGGTGACCATAGTGGCCATTTTGAAGTCGGCCATCTTGGATCCAACTTTTGTGTTTTCAATAGGAAGAGGGTCATGTGACACATGAAACTTATTGGGAATTTCACAAGAAAAACAATGGTGTGCTTGGTTTTAACGTAACTTTATTCTTTCATGAGTTATTTACAAGTTTCTTTGTTCACAGCCATTGACATATCAAAGAGGTTAACACGTGAGGAGCGGATCAAAATTGTGCTGATATCTGGTGAACGCAGTAACCGGGTCATTGCAGCAGATTTCAATGCAAGACACCCTACGAGACCCCACATCTCCCATGCTACAGTCCAGTTAGTCCGGCTCAATTTAAGTATTTTCCTATCCAGTCTGGTTCCATCCAGCCCCATTCTGTGTTGACCAATTTATTTTTTTCAATCCAGTCTGGTCCCGTCCGGCCCAATTCTGTCCAGTCCAGTTCCGTCTGGTTCAATTTTAAATCTTTTGAACTAGTCCGGTTCTGCTCAGACCAATGTAACTTTTTTTAATCCAGTCCGGTCCCATGTGGCCCAATTCGATTCAGTCCGGTTCTGTTCGATCCAATTCAGTCAAGTTCAGATCTGCCCGGACTAATTAATTTTTTCAATCCAGTCCGGTCCCGTCTGGCACAACCTGTCTCGTCCAGTCAGTCAGCTATTCGCTCCTGTCAGTCAGCCAGTCCATTCAGTCAAGCTCTCTACTCCAGTCAGTCACCTTTCCAGTCAATCAGCTGTCCAATTCAATTGATCAGCTGCTCAGTCCCATACAGCCAGGCTCCCTCTGACTTCAGTTCTGCCAGTCAGCTCTCAACTCCAGTCAGTCAGCTGTCCAATCCTGGAGCTGACCGACTGGACTTGGGGGCATACTGGCTCGACTGGACAGCTGATTGATTGGACTACACAGCTGACTGGACTGCTGATGGGCAGAACTGGAAAACTGACAGGCTGGACTGGAATGATGGCTGACTGGGCTGGAGAGCTGACCAGCCGCCACTCCATGTCAGGTCCAGTCAAGGCTCTTCTTGTCCTGTTCAGTCCTCTCCAGCCAAGTTCCCTCCAGTCCAGTCACTTTCAGCTAAGTCTCCTTTAGTTATGTCCCTTTCAGTTCAGTCCGGTCCATTCAAGTCAAGTTTCAGTCTAGTCCAGTCAAGTTAGTTTTCAGTCCAGTCCTTTCAAGTCAAGTTTGTAGTCAAGCCCACTCAAGTCAAGGTTCAGTCCAACCCACTCCTCTCTAGTTAGATTCCTTTCCAGCCCACTCCTGTCAACTCAAGTTCTGTCCGTTCAAGATCAGTCCAGTTCAGTCCCTTCCATTGGTCCCAGGCTGGCCCTTTCCAGCTTGGTCCTGGCCATTCCAGTTCTTCCCAGTCATTCCAGTCCTTTTCAGTCAAGTCCAGTCTGGTCCTCTGCAGTCAAGCCCTTCTCCATTAAGTCAGTCTTTTCCAGTCAAGTTCTTTTTCCGGTCAAGTCTAGCCAAGTCCAGTGAAGTCCTTTCTAGTAATGTCACTTCATTTCTTTGCAATTTCTTTCCTATCAAGTGCTTTTATGTCAAGTACATTTTGAGTCTAGTCCAGTCCCTTCCAGTTAAGTCAAGTCCAGTCTTTTTCCAGCCATCTTCGGTCGAGTCCTACCCAGTCGAGTTAACTCCATTCCTTTCCAGTCAAGTCATAATCCAGCCCTGTCCAGTTACATCAAGTCAATCCAGTCCCCTTCATTCAGATCCCTTCCAATCAGGTCTTCTCCTGCCAGGTTCCCTCCAGTCAAATCCTTTTTGATCAGGTCAACTTCAGTCCCCCTTAGTCCTGTCCCTTTCTGTCAGGACACTTAGTTCCCTTCAGTCGGGTCTTTTTATAGTCAGGTCAGATCCAGTTCTCTCTAAACATGTTGAGTTTGCTTCTACCAAGTCAGGTCAGCCCATTTTAGGCTTCCTGTTTCTGTACTCACCACCCCCAGGTCCTCCTGGTCTTTACATTTTTGGCCGTCAAAAGCCGTCATTAAAGTGGGGGGTCCTGTCATGATTCCAGCCCCCCAGCCATCCACTCTGCATCAGACATCACCTAAAACTCTACTTCCCATCATTCCCCGCACCGGTTCCCACCTCTCCACATCATCACGCTTACCCTATTTCAAGAAGTCCTTCACAATAGTCCGTGCTCAGTCATTGTAGCTTCTAAGCTCTGTCTGGTCTAGGCGTTTTCCTCTCGTGTTGGATCGTACGGCGCCTCGCTCAGTAGCGTGTTTTATTTTAGCCTTCATTTTACATTTTCAGCGCAGCGGCTCAACTTGTCACTCTGTTGCGTCCAGAGCGTCCATGCTCACGCCATCCAGTGGCTCCTTGGTCGTTACCACTGATCCAGTTCAAGTTGGACGACCACAGCTTAACCCGTTTCATCGTCACTCATGCCGGGCAATGCCAGAGCTCTCACGCTCCTCTGCACCATCTGCACCATCTGCAACACCCTAACTGTAAGCCCATTCCTTTTACTTTCTGGAATGTCGCCATGTCCTCATTTCCCTTCGAGGCTCGTGCTGGCGTTCCTAGTTTAACTGCGTGTTTGACGTCACCCATCACATTTGGGTCTTGTTACACACTATAGCCCTCCTCACTGCTCACCAAGTTGAGCCATGGTGAAAAGCCAGACATCTTTTTACACAAAAACAAAAAA